GAGATGCGTCGATTAAATTAACTCTGCATTTTTCTGTACTAATCATTTCATTTTTCGCACATCATCAATATTTGAGAATTACTTCGGCTAGGCCAATAGCTGAAAATCAAGTGGTGAGCGCTGCAGTTTGATTTATATGATAAAGAAATAGGTCAATCTGCTTTCCCTCTGTATTCAATTGCATTTGGATCACGTTGCTCAGATGGTTTCTTCTACTTTTAGGTTGCGAATGGCGTCTAGACCTCTTCATTTTGGTACTAGGTTTCGGAATTCGTGATACTTATGGATACCGGTTTCTGTTCTCTTTTTTTCGGATCGGAGTTAGTTCCGTCTTTTCTGTTCACATCTTCAATCTATCAGTATGGGTTTTATTATTTGAGACTTTTCAAATGCCTGTTGAAATGTTCTTGTATGTCTCCAAGAATACTATTTTATTATTCTGAGCATTCAGTACGAAATCGCTGCGTTCAATAGTGTTTGTTTCTATGATATTGTGGATTATTTATGCTTCCGAAAGACTTTTCGTTGAATGCATCAATGGATTTACACAGTGTCTCTTTGTGGCTCCCAATGTGTCAGCGAGCATCGTTGCTGTTTATTGGAAATCAGATCCGATTGTTGCATTGTATGATAATGTCAGTTGATTCTCCTTTTACCAAACTGACGCAAGACACATTCCAAGTACCATTTGTAGCTGATTACTGTCACCTTTTTACGTACTAGTGTGCTTGTAACGATTAATTTTTTGTAATTTAAGCATGTTGATGAGGAAATTATAGTCTCCTATTGTGATTAGGATGTATAAAAAATCTCTGTCGTCTCGAATATACTGAAGAACTAAAAATACAGAGACAAGGAATGCTGCCGCTTCGTCAGAGTAGCTACATTATTCATTTATAAATGTTTCTCTAACCAATGTTATTACTTCTTTCATTTCTTTTGAAATACTCATTGTTTATTTGCTCATTTGAAAGCTAAATGTTAAGCAAATTACATCTGCTACGAGTATATCAAGTTAACAAATTTATTTTTAATTCGTAGTCTGCTAAACAGGATTTATTTTCATGTATGAAAGAAGGATAGATACGAAATGATGTTTCGATTTAAACGACTGTTAGGTAATAATTGATGGCTACTTGTATACACTCTATAACATTTCTACCCTACATTGCTGAATTCAAGCATAGCTTCTGGTTGCACACTTGGTATTAGCTACTAATTGTCATAAGTAAGCAATTAAGTATGTTGTTGCTCAAGTAGAGTCGTATCTCATCGAAACAAAAAAAAGGTTTGAAGAGTATGTGCTACTTTATGTTGTTTGCTTTCTCTCTTTTTCTGATCTGACAACAAGCTATTATTAATGCATGTCACTATCACATATAAGCAAAAGACGTGAAAATTGAAATGAACATCATATCTCATTATCATAGTTTTTGCTTTCATTTATATCAACACCAAATGTTTTTTTTAAGATTTGAAGAGTGATTGTTACATGAGCGGCTCATAAAACCAATATTTTATGTATGAAATCCTGTTTGTACGTATCTTAACTTATTCAGGGCTTCACAATACACCTTGTCATTCTACTTATAATAAAAAGAGGACTGTTAAAAGTAAAATTTCAGAAATAGTTGTCAAAAGTTCAACTTGAAATTGCAAATATGAGACTTGACCGTTATTTTGTTGTCGTTTCTCCTAGGTTGTTGTCGTCTCTCACGCCTTCGGGTATATAAAGATTACGTGTGATGAATTCATTTCGTCGATCAACACAATAGTAGCAACATCGATTCTTCTACTAAAATCTCTACTGAATACAATAAGTGCAATCATTTTCGAAACTCATCGGGTACTTAGGTTGCAGAATTTTTATTTAATTCTTTATGATCAATAGTAAAGATGTTTGTCTCGATGTACTATGAGAATAGTACTACTAGATTGGTAGACGTATCTTAAGCGATTGCGATGGCCAACGGTCGTTTTAGTACTATATGATGACTTCTCTTTGGGTCAATTTTTTTCAGTGAAATAAATTTCTTGTTAAATTACATTTATTCGGATCTTCCTGTGGATTCAGATAGTTTTGCGTAAGGTCACTGTGGCTGTCTGAAGTTGCTGTCCCATCGGTCGCAGCGGAATCAATGAATGACTTGATTGTCTCCGTTTGTGTTGCAGTGCATGAAATAATTTGTTAAAAACACAGTGGTTTAAGGTCAAATTAAGTTTTCTTACTTAGGTTTTCATTTTGGAATTGTGTGTTTCTTTTGCTTTCCGTTGAACTATTATTCTTTTCATTTTTATATAATGTGGTTTGGTGAAAAAATTCCTTACTCTTTCTTCGATCTATGTGCCTGAGGGAAGACTGATAAATTCCATTTCAATCCAAGAATATAGCAGTTCCTTTACTGAGAATTTTTCTTCGTTTTCCACGTTTCTCAGTGTTCTTATATGATGAACCTCTGGCAGATAGACTTGCTTGATATGTTTTCATCTCCTGGTGAGGTTGATGATTTAACATCGGATTTTGAACGCATGCCTTTTTCTTCTTTTCACTTACCGAATTTAACTCTATTGTCACAGTTGTCAGGGATGAAGTCTGGTTTTCGTTGTATAACTATGATATATAACTACACAGATACAAAATGTTTTGCTATAGTATGTACATCTCTCTTAGTTTATTTACATATATTCAATGACTTGTGAAAAAAATTTGAACATATTTTGTAAATTTTAAATTGAGTTTTTTTCATTTCATATCGTACTGTTCTACGATATATACAGATCAGTAACTTTATCACATTAGTATAAAAAATGGTAAACGATATGACAGATGTAATTCATAAATTTGATCGGCTTATTCACGAAAAATATTATGATACAAATGAGATAAGTTCATTAAAGGGGATGATTTATCTTGACGAGAAACGCTTGTGATAAAAATTTCACCCTGATATGCCTGACTAGATTGAAGTTTCGGCTTGTTTTCTTACCTCCCAGGAGAATCGAAATAACCTCTCGTTAGAAAGGGTACAGAGCTCGGGCTGGTTTTCAATTGTAGCTAGCCTCTGTACGCAACTTTTCATCGGACGAAATTTTGAAACTGCCTTCCATTTACTTTTTATGAGCAATTTTGTGGATGTGCTTGCAAAATAAGCATAGAAAAAAGCTAGTCTACGACAGTAGACCCTACTTTTCTCAGCCCTGAGATCCAATATCAAAAATCCGTCCGATAAAAAGTTAGCTCTGCTTAAGATCTTTAAAACAAAAAAAAACATCGGTTATATGCCGAGTCAAATGGAAGTTATTTCAATTTTTCTATCTAGAAACCGTGTTTTGAGAAAAATGCTAACGAAGGTTCAAAAATGGATTTTTTCATTCAAATCCAAAACAAATCATATTAGAATGGTATATTCCAGTGAACCGTTTTAAGGGACGTAATAGATGAGAATAGCTAACGCCATCTATCATGCTGATTAATATAAAAAATTTTTTATTCAATGAAAATGCGAGTGGAGCGCAATTTTTCTGCAACTAAAAACCTTTAAAAACCACGGAAATTTCTCGCAAAACATGGTAGTAGATTTAAAGTTTCATGTGAAAAATGTTTGAAAATCTGATCATTTTCCACAAAACTATACATATTTTGAGGAGAAGGAAACTTCGCTGCATCTTCCTGTACTAGAAACTTAACTTCGACATTTTCCGGAGAAGCTCGATTATCTAAGGGGGAGGGTGCTTTTAAATGAAACTGAATATGAACCACCAGGGCAACATATTGGTGAAGATGATGTTAACTTAATACTTCCATCTTCGTCTGTAGGGCAACCAGAAACGTATTTTAGTTAATGAACGAACCGTAGATGATCAATGTTTTTAACGAGAAGTAAAGAATGCTGGTGGTATGTTACTGGATATACTCAATAGTAATGCAATTTATTGCTGTAAAAAACGTGAAATGGATGACAAAGTATATCAACATATGACACGAACTATTACTTATTTATTAATTCAAGAATTGAATGCAACAGATTTGAATAGTGTTTAAAGACATTTAAGCAAAATAATCGAAGAACTTACTTTATTACTAAATGATTTACGTGAACGTCAGTGTCTGACTGATATATAAGTTCAACAAATGACTGTTCAGCGATCAATGGTTCAAATCGATTTTCTATACTTTTTACCGGATACACATCAGGTAAGTATTCTTTTTTGTTTTCATTGTATTCTTTTGAGAAAATGTGTTTCTTTCTGTATATAAAGTGCTATACCATTTGAACCTATCATGGTATATTGCTGAGGACTCACTATTGGTATATGTCGTTACATCAGCCGTCTTCTTCAAAACATCTATGATCAAGCGACTCGTTCAACAACATTTTTCAAAACTAGTAATGTTGTACATGCACTAGAAAACTATGTCGCAGAAGTTCGTTTACAATCAAATACATTATTTGCTGCTGTACACGTCAATGATTTATGTACACTTATACCTCATGAGCAATTGACGGAATCATTACAGCATTTTCTCTATGATTATGTACCAGATGGGCAAGTGCAAGGATTAACTGTTGATATTATTATTGAGTTAGTTCGTTTTGTTTTACAAAATCAATACTTTATTTTCGATAACAAAATTTGTCGACAAATTAAAGGTTGTGGTTCTGGTCAACCGCTCAATCATCTATTAGCAAATATTTATATTTTCTATTGACAACAAGATTTAGTTAAAAGATTAGTTAATCAAAATGAAATATTTGGTCGATATCTTAATGAAATGTTTTTTTACTTGTAATAAATCAAAATGAGAACTTTAATCACTTCTTAAGAGAATGGTTCGTCAAAAAAATCCTCATTTATCTATAGCACTTTGAATTGGAAAAAATGTCGCCTATCTCGATGATCAAATAAGTCATATCAATAATCAACTTCGAACTATAATTAATAACGATAATGATATTGAACCATGTGGATTATCTTTTATATCGGATCATCCACTTTTAATGTATTCAACATTAATTCAAGCATGTCTTATGTGTGCAGCATTAATTCGCTTCAAAGTATCTGATTTTCACAATGAACGTCGTGATGTTCAAATAGTATTTTTAAATAACGGCTATTCAATCAATTTTATAACAAAACATGTTGAGCAATTGTTCCAAGATTTTCATATTTCCAATTGGAAATCAAATTTAAATCAAAATACCTATGATAAAATGCGTGAAGAAATTATCGAGCATGATCAACAACATCAAGAAATGAAAATAAAACAAAGATGAAAACAACAAAGAGAACAACTATGCTACATTACATCTGGTTTAAATGGAGAAGAGCTATACGATTTTCAACAAAATATTAAAACATTTTCGGAAGACTATTTGAAAAATCAACCACAATTCAATAATATAAACATTGAAGTCATTCATCGATCAAAATATCGATGAAACACAAACTGGCTGTCTATAATTATGAAATTCAGAGATTTTTTTTTCTTTTGGTATACATTACGTAGATGATCTTTTTGTAAACTTTATTAAAACTAGATATTTCATAATTGTTGACTCCTAATTTTTCGAGATTTAATGTTTCCTCTTTGCATTTTAGATATTGAGTGTTCTGTATAAATGAATTATATTGAAACAAACACAACAATGACAACAACGAAATCAATTTTAAAAACACCAAGTGAAGATGCTCAAGGTCACTAATATGAATTACTTTCACCAACACAAGTGTTGACTGGACAACAGTAAAAACAGGAACCAGTCCAACCACAGAAAGGCGAAGACGTAAAACGCAAGAAAAAAAAGCCGCGGTGATCGAAAAGCACAACGTCGACGTGGACTACTTCGTCGAAAAGGTTTAGATCCAGATTGACTCACCGATTTAATTCAGTCAAACGTGAGCCTTCAGAAAAACCAGAAAAAAATGAAAGAAGATGCTAATGATCATATACAGGTCAATGTATCAGTTGATCAAGTAATATCTACCTTTCTTATTAGTAAAAGAATCAATCAAACGTAAAAGAAATGAAATATCATCAAAACAATCATCAAATACAAGTGATAAGTCTTTAAGTCAATTATCTATTTCTCAACCATCACGAAAAAAAACAAAAGATGGCCAATAATGAAATTGAACAAGTAACTACAAATGGAACATCAGAGAAGAAATGTTCAAAATCTAAAAAATAAATTAATCATAATAATGACTATTCCTATATATCTGATTATTTACAAGTAACCAATCGTATATTTAAACAAATGTTAATCAGTTCATTAGAAGGTGCTGATAAAATTGTTAAACGATTAAATACAAGTGAAGAAATTAACTATATTCGTCAATGTGCTTGTTTAATACATCATCTATTCTATGTACAATTACGAGAAAGTCAATGGAAGTATTATTATGATATTGGTATGCAAGAAAATATTTGGTTCGGCCTCGTAGCAAAAAAATGGGCTGCTATGAATAGTATGCATCATACTTATGGTCGCTCAAAAACATTAATCGTACAAAGTCTCACAACTCTTCAACGACAACTTCAAGAAGCATCACAAGCATTACAAGAGTTTGGCAATCCACCATTACCTCAATGTCTATCTGAAATGAAGCCTTCATTAGAGTTTACAACAATGTCAGCAATGGTTACAGTTGTTGTCGGACAAGGTGAACATAAATTAAAGCAACAATTTGAATATAATAAAAAAATGTTAAAATTAGACTCAACAGATCATCGTTTAGTACAATATGTTTATGATTTGAAACCTAATAAACAACAAATTCGTTCTATTCGTAATATATGAAAAGCAATTTATAATAAAAAAGCTTGTTAGCGCAGCTCCTTTGGAGCTGAAATTGGGAACTTTCGTGTATCCTTCAAACCTATTATCCTAATGCATCATTTGTAAACTAAAAAATAGTTGTTTTCAAATAATTCTGAAAGTATTGAAATATTGTATAGAATCTGAAGCCTTTTGTGC